GCCATGACAATTTTTTAGGAAGAAAAATACATCAATGCAAGGTGATAGAATGCAGTATTAAACTGGAATAATTCTAAGCACTGTCGATAGGTTCAGTGTAGCATGAAGGCAAGGGCACGAATGAGAAGATCACTGAATTAAGAATTCTTCATCTCAGGCTCATTAATTAGAACAATGGGTACAAAAAGCTGTTGATATTTGAAATAACAATGATGGCCTTAAGTAATATGTCCTGGTAATGGTAATAAAATATACTCTTGCTTCATGTCTCTTATGCTACAGACTTTTTTTAATCCAAGAATTTGCATAATACTTATGAATCTTCCTGACTTGTATAACATGGTGGCCATATTTTACCTTCTGAAATCAGTTATTCTTTATACAGTATGGGCAAATTTGAATGGATGCAAGTTCTATGAGCAATTTCTGACATCTATTATGACTCTTTTTTTCTTCGGTTCTTATTATTGTCAATTATCACTAATCTATTATTAATCACTATTAGGATATGTTATGAGTTTGAATTGCCTGGCCTTTTCTTTAACAATTCCATCAACACAGAAGCAAATATAAGACTAGTCCCTTTTAACTTCTTAAATTTTAAAGTTTCAAACTTAAATGCAAACTGTTATATGCAGTGGTTGATGAATGTAATTTTCTTATGTTACGTGGGAGGGACTCTAAGGCCAAGATCGATCAAAACAAATTGTGATTCACTTTCAGTGTTTTTAAGATGTTTAGGAATTCTAGAGGTTAGTGTGTTTAAAATTAAGGTGACTCAGACTGTATGTTGCTTGAAAGCACTCTCAAACCGTTGGTGTTGTAAAACATGCTTATAATGTGGGCTTGCAGACTAATATATGGAGTAATAACAGAAGATTGCAGAGCAATTGACATTTGCAGTGCTTATTTACCGTATTTTTTATTATTATTAGGTGTATATCCATTGGTGTATATGGGTGTCAACTGACAGCTTGAATGATACGGAGAGAGGAGTTTTGGAAAGAAGCATTGCAGAGTCCTTCCTTTATGCAAATTATTTACTGTCAATTGATGAAATAAGCACAATTAGAGTGGGTTGAATTTTTAAGACCAGAATACTTTGTCCTTTTGGGGATTTCCTCCCATGCAACATACGTTGCAAAAGTAGATCTGCTACTTGAGTTAGTGACTGTTGCACAGACCAGTTGTGCTACTGAGCATGCAATCACAGTTGTGTAACCAGTCGTGCAACAGGCACCTTGTAAAATAGTGTAGCTGTTTGAACAATGTTAGTTGTGTACACAGAATGTTTCTACTTAATACTGACAAAAATGTTTAGATCTAATATTATAGACTGCAAGGAGACTATGTAAATATGTACAACTGGGTATCTCTGTTATTCATCTTAAGTGGCTTCTGAGTATTTGGTTCTCTCCCTTTTATGTTGTCTTTCTTGCCACAATTTTGCCAAAAATTTTAGAGAGCAGGTGGAAAGGAGGGAAGTAGGGATGCCAAAGAAAATCAGTCTTGAAATGTTTACAGTAATGGAGAAGGAGAAAAAATATTGGAGGGCTTTTGGATTTATGAAAATCTGTGGTAATTCAGTAGTTCAATGTATTTTTCAGAGATTTTTTAAAAATCTTCTCTGCTTTCTCTTCTTTCTGAATGTTCTTGAAACTCTTTGCTGCATAGTGGCAAGGCAGATAAGATGGTAGGAGCCACTGATGTTCACAGATTCAGTAATGTTACTGAAGTAAATGGAGCCCCTTTCCACTTTTCTTGGCCTAATTCCTTTTTTAATTCTATTTTCTTCCTGTGCTATTTATGTAATAATGAGGTATACCTCTTGATCAGAAAAGCTATCTACTTTCATGTTCTGTAGCAAATTTAAAATGTTTACAGATGGACACAAAATCATGTTTTTCGCTTAATAGCCCACATTTGGCAAAGTACAGCTCTGTCCTTAGTTAACTGTGGAAAACAAAAATAAATAAATATCAGTTCTTGTTGTTTTAAGGATGAGTTGTCATTCTTTAAAATCATTACTTTGCTATGACTAAGATCTACCAACTAGTTTAACTGAGTTTCCTTGCAGTTGCCTGATTGTTATGTCATAGTGAACATGCTGTATTTCATTTGTTTAGGTTAAAAGTACAAGATGTAGCTTGTAATGTCTTTTGTCTGCTAATTGGTTTTTCCAACAAGTTTCAGTAAACTACCTGGCACTTGGTAGATGTTTAGCTAAGCGGGCAGCTTCTTTAAGGGACTGCCACACAATGTTCAGTTTGACATCAATCAATTAACAAATGCACAAGAGCAATGTGCCCTTTTATTTAATAGATCAAAAGGAACGATAAACAATGGTCTGTTGTGAGGTCCATGAACTTTGGTTTTGTATATTTTACCATACTTCTGGTGTCAGTCTGAGGCAGAGTTAGCAGGGTTTTTAATATTATTTCAGTTAATTATAGTTTAATTTTACATCTGAACCTAGCCTTGTTAATATTAATTTTAATTAGTGGAAACAAGCCAATGCATAAACTCTGTTTTGGATTTGGCTAGGTTAAATTATGGTTAAGAATAAGCAGATTTCTCCATGTTCAGATGTAATGCTAATAGTTAATTGTGGTTCCACTGAAAAAGATGGGACTGGAAAGCTTGCAAATTGTGGCTTATTCCCATGAGGATGAAATATGATTTATTATGACATATGAATGAGGCATTTGCATAATATGTAGGTTAGACATTTTAGGGAAGTGGTTTGAAAAGTCTTAATGTTGCTATTGTTAATAATGTACCTGTACATTTGTCTGGACTACTTTATTGTTTGAATTTGTGGGAAAGTATGAGAGGACCTTAACTGCAGAGTGGAGATGATATATATACTTTTGTGGCAGGGGTGTGTGGTGGCTGCTGAAATTCAAGAACACAGAATTGGGACCTAGAAATCAAGTTAGAATTTCCTTCAGGAGGTGGTTCTTCATTTCTGACATTTCTGTCTGCATACAGTGGTGCCTCGCTAGACGATGATAATCCGTTCCACTGAAATTGCTGTTTAGTGAAATCATTGTCTAGCGAAAAGCATTTCCCCATCGGAATGCATTGAAACCTGTTTAATGCGTTCCAATGGGGAAGAATCGTCGTTGTCTAGCGAAGATCGGCCATAGGAAAGCTGCTTTGCAAACCGCCCATCAGCTGTTTAAATCACTGTCTTACAAAGCTTAGGTCCCGAAAACACCTGTTTTGCCAGCGCGGAGGAAGCTGTCAAAGTCGTCATCTAGTGAAAATTGGTTTGTGAAGCAGGGACCAAACATTGTCCAGTGAAATTCCCCCATAGGAATCACTGTTTTGCGAATCACTATAGCGATCACAAAAAGTCAATGTCTAGCGAAAAAACTGTCATGCGGAGTAACTGTCTAGCGAGGCACCACTGTATACAGTTCCAGTTACAAATATCCTACTGTGTAGAATTTAAAAATACTGTCTTGTAGAAATGGGCTTTTTAATCCATGTTGAATTTTTTTGCCAAATTTCAGAGATGGAAAAGGGGCATGCTCAGCATTCATAGAAAACAACAATTTTTGCCTTTAAAAAACTGAATTTGGAAATTACAGATCCTTGAATTTTGATTTTGGTATATGGGTCATTAAAAAAAACTTGCTTTTTTTTTAACACCACGGACCTACAGCATTAAACTAACACAGAGAGTCCTCACCAAGAAATAGGTAGTTCAGAATGCATCTTGTATTTCATTGTAGCATGTTCCTTCCAGGACCACTGAAGTAACTGATGTCAGTGCAGGGTTATCATGTTCCAATTTGCTCTGAGGAAGATTACAAATTGAGTCTTGAGCTTCCTTGCCTGACTTTGTATTGCTTACCTCTAAAAGAAACATTCTCTTCATTAACTTTCATTAATGTTAACTGGAGTGAAGAGAATACTGACACTACTATGGATTTCCATTCTTTATATTCTCCATGACCAGAGAAAACTCTTTAATTATGTTTAATATTGTATAAGAAGAAGCATATGTGTTGAAGATGGTGTGCGACTTAGGAAGATGTACTCGCCCTTCAAGTGCTATTGATTTGGTGGTTCTTTTTCCCTAGATGTGTTTCAAGTACATATCTGTAAAACAATTTCAAGAGGGCTTAAAGGTTCATTATTAGTCCACCATGCTGTTTCCCTACTCCCATTGATTTCTCAGGAAATGTTCATAGAGGGAAATATTGTTTGTTGGGGAGGTTGTGTGTGTGTGTGTGTGTGTGTGTGTGTGTGTGCCTCTTGAGCCTCTGAGTACATTCCTTAGCCACTCCCTGTTCATGGCAGGCCATACATATCAGAACATGTTGTGTATGTAATCTCCTTGATGTTACAGGAAAAGAATATGGTTCCTTCATGCTTAAGAATTCCCTTCCTATGTATTTTTCACATGGTTCCAGTGGAGAGATAGAACACTAGTTACTGCATAATTCCTTAGCCTAAAACTTGATCTTATACAGTTGTGTGTGTATATGTGTGGTTGCAGGGAGTGCTGGCTTGCTGTCTGAAGTGAAGGCAGTTGTAATCCAAAGAAGCCATTTTTCTAAGCTTTGGCCAAGCATTGTTTTTGTGCAGAGACATTTAGGACAAATTGCGGCAACCTTAATTTAAGAAAGAACTGTTCTCCCTCTCATGTTGGAGCTGAGAAATCATGCTAGGATTTAAACATTTCTGATGGCCTATCTTGTGAAAAACACGTGATTTATCAAGATTCTTTCACATCTCTTTTGTCCTATCCAACAGTGCATGTGAAAGTACTAACCAAAAGTACTATTCAATAGAACTTTAAAAGATGCATTTATATTTTATCATGCAGACAAATGATTGCTTAAACAGCAGTTCTATTTTCCATTGTCAGTTATTTCAGATATAGATTTTTTTTAATGAAAGGTAGTTTCTTCAAAACTTGAAGCTACTGAGAATTTGCATCTGATTATCTTCTCTATTTTCTTCCTCTTCCTCTTTTTTCTTGATAGTCTGACACCTACTTTTGCATGTCTCTGCGTCTGCCAGTGGAGGATGAAGCCTATGTAGGTAAGTGCTACTCAAATGTCAGAAAGTCATGGCCAGGCCATGTAGTAATCTGTCAAAGCTTCTCTTGGTACTCTGTCACTTAATCTTCCCCATCAGTGCTCCTTTAATGCATTCATTATACCTAGTGCAGAAGCAACACTAGAGGAACCACTTAAGGCAGGGATAACAAACTGCATTGGAAGAGACTTGTATTAGTACTTAAGGAGCTTCATGCAGATGCCTTTGGCAGCTGGACCCAAATGCTCCCATTTGTAAAGTATTGGCTTTCTGTCTGTGGTTGGATACTTAATTCCACTCCATTGCACAAGCTGTTTATTTACCTGCTGGTGCAGGCAGTAAATCTCTTTGCAGTTACAATGAGCATTGGGAACAGTAAGATCTTACCTGTCTGCAAAATATACTTGCTTTATGTTGAGACATGGATGAGATGACAGGTAAATGGCAGGCTCTACAACAGTACTGTATCAATGTTTAATTTAAGTAAGTAGGCCACTGAAATAAGCACCATCTGCTTAGCGTATTCACTCATTAATCTTTATTTTTTTTATTTCACTTGCAAACATTTATCTACACCATCAGTGTACATAACAGAATGGAAATTTATTAAACACTGGGACTTAGAAAAGTTGTCATGTGCGTTTCAGAAGAGTTTAGTTAACTGTTAATACAGTTTAACCATGTTTATATATGTCAAATAGTTGATGAGTTTTTAAAATGGATTTTTCCCTGTTTTTTCATAGTGGGCTAAGAATGAAAAGATACTATACTTAACATCTCACTGACTTGGATAGAGAGCTAAGGGAAAGACAGAAACAGTTTCAAAGGAACTAACTAAAATTCATTTGATAATGCCTTCGTTTAACACTCTTGATGTGATACAAGTACTCTAGTAATTGTACTGCTATATGTGTTGATGGGGGGGCTCTGAGAAGCTTAATTTAGCCTACAACTCAATCAAAGTTTTAGCTCATAATTTGACCGTAAATTATTTCCAGGATGAAGAAAGGGAAAGATCCCAGCAGTAGTCAAGCTGACATTAAAGAATACATAAATTGTACAAACCCTTGAATTCTTTTTTGGCTCGGTGTCTAAACATCTCCATTTCCCCCATTGTCAGTTGAATCCACCAAGCCCCCAGACAAACCTTCTCTTTAAAAGCCTCACATGAACCTATGAGTCAGTGGGTCAAAGATCTCCTCATCTTCCTTTAACAACATCCTGGGGAGTGCTGTTTTTCCCCAAGGGCTGCTGCCATTGCAGAATTAATTTTGGAGTCATATTTGCATTCACACATTCTTGAATCCAGGCTGGCTTCTAGAGGGAGATTGGTTTTATAAAAGTTTTAGAGTTCTTTGAGTTCTGCTTCTTTTCTGGATAAAGTTGAAAGTTCTGCTGTGTCTAGATGTCGGCTGACTTAACATCCAATTATTCTTAATACAAGAATTGAGTACAATTGGAGCTGATGTAACTGCATACATGAGGCTGATTGGACAGAAAGAAGGCTAGAGTAGTGAGTGCATCTTGCAGTCACACAGTGAACAGCTGTGTTCTCTGTTGGTGACTATGCTGGGCATAAAGGAACCTCTAATGATGTGCTTTTAATGTATTGTTTTCATAGCACACTAGCAGTTTTCTCATAGCCTGTAGTTTCAAAATAACTGATATGCCATTTGTTCCGAGGACCCTTCTGTTTTGGTCTTGTAAAATAACCTTTAATATGCAAGAAATTAGTTCCTTAGAAATACTGTGACATAAAATGCTGCAGTATTTTCTCTTTGGATTATATATGAATTGCTTAGTTTAATTTATGGTGTATGTACCGTAGAAGAAGAAGAACCAAAGATTTAACAACAAAGTCTTCTGGAAGTCTTCCAGAAAGGCAGTTGTTTTTCAGGGAAGCCCTGGAAGTTTGTATTCCAATTTTAATCTAATATTCATTATATAACATTGAATTTATTATAAATTATATAATATATAAGAAAGCATATGTGAGTGTTGAAAATCAGAGAGGACTATAACTGCAATGAGCATATTATATATATATTATATATTATATTATTATATATTATATATATATATTATATATATATATATGGATAGCCCTCATCCCAATAAATATGATTATAACATTGGGAGATTTCTATTCCACTTATCATCTGCCTTCTCTTCTCTTTGCGAACCGTGTAGAGCAGGCAGGCAAGCAGCAAAAATAATACAAGAAAGGAGAGGACCAAAGAGCCAAAAGCATCCCCAAAGAAGCTAGAGTTGGGGCATAAAAACAATAATCAAAAGGAGCAAGGAGTAAAAATCAAAGAATTCAAGATGGAGTGGGGCACAGGCTGCCAGGGAGTGCAAGATAAGGGCTCTAAGAGCCTGCAACCAAAAGAAACAAGTGAAACAAACAAACAAAGAACAATAGAACCAGTACAACAGTAAACACAATCTAGTAAAAATTCTCTTCCAATTTTAGTTGTGGATGCAACTACAATGGGCATAGGTTTTGCAAGCAGGGGAATGGATTGAGAGTATTTGCCGCTATTTGTTATACGCCTTTTTGTACAGCCCCCAACCCCCTCAAAAGAGATATTTGACTAGTTTACCAATACTAGATTTTTGTCTAGAAAATAGGAGGCAACTCTTGTCCTGGAATTTATGCTTTGGGCTAACTGTAATAAATGCTTCAGTAACATGTTTACTTATTTGGAATGGCTGCATTTAAAATTAAGTGGACATTATGTGTTTATTTCTGATGGAGTTGACCCATCCATGGTGAATCTGTCTTTCTGTTTCACAATTACTTTCCTTTTTAAAAACAAATAAAGATTGATGTACAATTGTAGATTAAAAACTGAGGAAAATTAGTTATTTAGAAGATGTTTGTTTTGTAAGCTGACTGTTCTATGTCAGTCTAAACTGATGATAGAACTGAGACAGAAAACTCCAAAAAATTATTATAGTATTTACTAAGGGAGTAATGAATATTTGCAGTTTTTTCTGTCTTCAGTGAAAAGGGGAGGGTATCAGTGTATCTAAACACTCAGCTGAAACAACCTTCTTTGCACAAAAGGTTTATTTTGTTTAAATGACACTAGTATCTTGTGCTAGTTCCACTTTCACGACTTTTCTGGTAAACAAGTCCATATCTTGTCAAACATGGAGAAGACTGGAAATTGTATAAAAAATTACAAAAATTGTTTCCAACCTATTTCCAGTCATAGAGTTTTCCATCAAGGTATATATTGAAGATTTCTCTCTATAGCATATATATTTTCTAACTCTTCCAAGATGTATTAAAGAAATAAGAGTAGTGACAAATAATCATTAAAATGTCTGGTATATAATATTTGTCCAATGTAAACCCTTTCACTCCAATTTTATTTAGAGCCAATTTTATAGTGATTAGGATTCTGAGCTTGGAAATTAGCCATGAATTTGTGTACAATTACTATGTAGTCTTGAAGCTTTTATTTATTTATTATTGTTTTTCTCTCTTCCCACTTTTTTCTTCCACCCCACAATAGTTCCACATGCACTGCAGAATTAATTAGAGGTGAAGTATGTAGAAAGCAAGTAAGCAGGGATGTGACTTTTTTATTATGTCTTTAATATTTTCCCATTTAGCCCTTTACATTTTTGATTATGAGAGCAAATAGCAAAACTAGAAAAGTGTTTGCAGAGTCCAATACAAACTGCTTTTTACAATTGAACTCTGGTGATAGCTGAAGAGTGTACTATGGATGCTTAGAAAAATTGTGTCTGACAGCAAGCCACTCAGCCAAGAAATTTATCTGTCATTCTCCTTCTCTTATTTTCATGCATATGGCCAACCGGTAAATAAATGTGTTTCCCCCTCACAGATGCACACACTGACTGATGGTGAGATCTTATTTGTCAAATAGTTTCATACAAACAAGATGGGATCTATTACATTCTGAAATAGAGGTGGAAATAATTTGATGATGTATTGCTTTTTTATTTCATTTCTAGACTATCTGACTGCAGGTATTCTAACTATAGAAATCTTTATTGCTTTGGATATAGCATCTTTTGCTGAACAAAACCTATCTGCATTACTGAGCATTTATGTATTTTTGTATTTGGTAGGTAATGATTTATTGTCAGTTTTGGAGCCTGTGAAAAATCTTCTGAGTGACTGGATCATTTAAAGAATGGTCTACAGAAAATTAAGAATCAAATGAACAATATTGGGGGAACAGCAGGAAGGGATACCTTATTGTTGTTGATCCAAACTATGTATAGATAAGCAGTTTGGACAGTGATGGATAAACCTGGAGAAGTACACCCTGGATACTTTACAGAATATACTCTTGAGGTAGAAAGGTGAATTAGAGAGGAAGTTAAATCCTAAACCCTGGACAGAACCACTGAACTGTTAACATATTGTCAAACTTAGCTGAAAATCTTAATGGCTGAGCAAATGACACTTTTTTAGGGACAGAATTTTGATATGTAACCAGATTTCTGATTTTAATAGTGCATCTTTCCTTAGATTCTGGGAATACGCTATGTGTTACATTACTGGAAACCTGCAGACATAGACAATGATATCAGATTGTAACACCTTATTTAATTTTGAAATAGACTACATTTGACATACATTAACATGTATAGTACTTTTTGTAAAAAAAACCTACTGAAGAAAATGATCTGAAATTAGTTAGTTTACATTTTTAAATACATTTGCAGTTGGTGATAAAGAAGGGTCTACTTCTGGGAATGAGATAACAACTATGTTCTCATTGGTAGGAAGAACCAAATATTTTCCCATTTAGCCCTTTACATTTTTGATTATGAGAGCAAATAAGGTAAGTACCTGATAATCCAGGATTCTGCAGACCTGATTTACTGTGATGTCTAAAATGAATCATGGGGACGTGATGGCGCTGCGGGCTAAACCGCAGAAGCCTTTGTGTGCTGCAGGGTCAGAAGACCAGCAGTCGTAAGATCGAATCCACGTGACAGAGTGAGCTCCCATCGCTTTGTCCCAGCTCCTCGCCAACCTAGTAGTTCGAAAGCATGTAAATGCAAGTAGATAAATAGGTACCACCTCGGTGGGAAGGTAAACAGTGTTCCGTGTATAGCCGCGCTGGCCACGTGACAACGGAAACTGTCTTCCGACAAACACTGGCTCTACGGCTTGGAAACGGGGATGAGCACCACCCCCTAGAGTCAAACACGACTGACTAAAATGTCAAGGGGAACCTTTACCTTACCTGATAATCCAGGATTCTGCAGACCTGACTTACTGTGATGTCTAAAGTGAATCATAGACTCCTCTTGTTCTTTCTGATTCAAAAAGCTGTAGAATTGAGTGCCTACCCTGGTAAACCTTGAGGCATGAAGCAACAGTTTCAATGATATTCTTGAGGATGAAGCATCTGAGCACTGGATTCTGTTTCCATAGTAATGGAACGAAGAGTCCCACTAAATAATTCTTGGGGTAAAAATATAGCATTGAAAATATAGTATTGTTGATGTGATTTCTGGATACACTGGTCTATCTGGAGGTGCAGACATTGAATCCTTTTTTCCTAGAAAGGCATCCTAGTAACATATGCCAAAACTAAGTCCTAGTACAGTACTTAAACATGTGGTCATCAGTGTGTATTGTCTCCAGTGCATTTTAAGAATAAATGTTTTTGAAAACTATAACTAAGTGTCCGAAATTTAAGCATGCCCAATCAAATGTTTGATGGTCATGTAATTCCATCCATCAGAAATGTTAAAAATTAACTAGTTTCTAATCTAAATGAAGAAATTTTCTTTAAATATCCACCTTTATTAGACCTTTATTAGACCTATGTCAATACACCTAACTAAAGATGTGTGCTAAAATGGAAAAGAAGCGTGATAGTGGTCTAGTCTAAAGTTAAGGGAAATTATGATATCAGTAGCTTAGCATTGCCCTTGCATACAACGCTAATACATAGTCTCTCTTGGCAGTGAAATTCATTTTAATATTTAACAACTCCTTACTTTGAAGTCTTCAGTCTTTCAGTTCTGTCAGTAAATATCACACTTGGTGAGAACAATTGGAAAATGAATTTGTAGCATCTTGAGTGGATTGTTAAAAGACTGCTGTCAGCATAGTATTAAGTCTTCTCTATTAATATATTCCAACGCCTCATATTTCTTTGTACTGATTGTTAAACTTTTAAAAAAACACAAAACAGGGGTATAATCACTCTTTCACCCTAATCTCTATAGCATACTAAATCTGCCTCTGTGGTCATAAACCCATTGTATGTATAGAATTAAAATAACAACCTCAAAAATCAGGCCTGCTACTTACAATTATTTCTGTCCCTAAGAAGCAGAAATATATTCATGGAAATATCTTCCATTGGTTGGCAAGTCCTAATGTTTATGGGACTTGCTGAGAGAATATTGTGTTCTTTGCTTCATTTTAATTGAATTCTTGTTCATATGTGTCTAAAATGTTGAATAACTACAGAACAAAAACACAAATCTTCTCTTTTTAGTACAAGTCTTTGTAGAAGTGTATATAGCTATAGAGAAATGCAACTTTATCCTTTCTCAGTGTTTGGTTTACATTCCTGCTGTGTCTTGTAATCAGTAGAGCAACCCACAGTGTATCTCCATTCACTATTATATGCATAAAACACAGTGAATAGTCTCATGCAACATTATACTCTTAGTAGTATGAAAACAAACCCATCTTTATATATCACTTTTGTATTTCAGTTGACTTCAAACCTCAGGCGAGCATGGACACAGTCCACCATATGCTTCTATTTGGATGCAACAACCCTGCTTCAGATGAAGATTATTGGTAAAGTGATGTTTTCTGTGTTCATTATTCTGGATTAATTTGTTCTACATGTGTGTTGACAGTCTAGAGCAGTGGTCCCCAACCTTTTTAACTCCATGGACTGGTTGGAGAAGGCGGGGCACACACACACACCCGCTCTCGCACACATGCGTGAAGGAGCGGGCGCACACTTGTGCAGGTGAGCGCATACTCGTGCAGTGGCACACACACTCGCATGCATGCACAAAGGAGCAGGGGCACTCAGGAGCACTCGTGCACACTCACAAAGGGGTGGGGGTACACATGCATGCATACGCATTCATGAAGGGTCTGTGCAGGGGGCAGGAGTGCATGCAGGGGGATCTGTCTCCGTGGCCTGGTCCAGCCCAGGCCATGGACTGGCACCGGGCTGCGGACTGGGGCTTGGGGACCCCGGTCTAGAGGACAGTTACATGATGGAGATAGAATGGAGCAGTTAAAAAGCAGTAGCAAGGAGGAAATTTAAGAATATATCAATTGGGGCTGATGTACAGGATCTTCAGAAGCATGTGTTCCATTCCTTTCTTTACTGCCATCTTCTTTATTTGTGAGTAAAGAATTTCAGACAGCTTGCACAGGAGAGAGGTCATGGGGTGAATATAAAGTTGTGTAAATGGGTGGTGTTGTATGAGAAGGAGTGAAAGACAAGAATCTGAGTATTTCTCAAGGTCTGTTTCTTATTTTTAGAGGATGGACAAATACAAATTGGTGTGCATCTAACTTTTAAATGTAATAAATATGATATGATGTGCATACTTATTTATGAATATAAAAGGTGAGTAAGTGACTGGTGTGGGAGGAAGAATGAAATATAAGAGTCAGTGAGTGTTACTCGTCAGGTCTCCTTGGTATTGTTGGAGGACTGATAGATAGAAATTAGTGTGCACATATGTATTGTGAAATACTCTCTTAATACATTGATTTGGTCCTTTTTTCAAAACAAGACTATGAAGTATTGATCATGCCAGTGACATCAACTAGAAACCTTCTGAATATAGAGGAGACAAAGAATTTTAGACGTTTGTTATATTCATATAATAGAAGCTGTGTGAGATTTCTCTACAGGAAATAAACAAAAACTGTGTTGCAGGGCAATTTTTCTCAGCTCTATTGGACACAGTGTATACAGGTGATCATATATGCTGATATTCTGTGTGCTTAAATATATATGCTCAATACCTTAAGACAGGAGTGAACAAATGGGTAGTTAGAATAGAGTTTTCAAAAATGTTCATTTCTGAATTAGAAGAGGTACCATATTTTTCCATGTCGAAGACTATACAGTACTTTTGTTTAAAATCTTTAGACTGAAAATTGAGGGTTGTCTTATACATGGAAGTAAGCTGAGGAGAGAAAAAACCAAGTGGAGGGGAAAGCAGAGATCAAAGTGATTCTGCCGGGCTTTGATCCCTTCTTTCCCCTCCACTTGCTAAACCTTAGCAAAAGGAAAGCAGGGAACAAAGGGCTGCAGGATGGCTTTGATCCTTGCTGTCCCCTCTGCTTACTAAGTCCCATGGGGCTTAGCAAGGGTAGAGGGAAAGGATCAAAGCAATCCCATGGCTGTATAAGTGGGAAAGGAATCAAAACGATCATGCAGTCATGGGATTGCTTTGATCCCTTTCCCCCTCCTTTTGCTAAGCCCTGTGGGGCTTAGCAAGAAAGCAGGGATCAAAGCGATCCTGCAGTGCTTTGATCTCTTTCCCCCTACACTTGCTAAGCTCCACCTAGTTTTCTTAATTTTGGGTTAGAAAAGTGGGGGGCATCCTATACATGGGGGCGTCCTATACACAGAAAATATGGTATTTGTGTTAGTCTACACTAGCATGTCAGACAAATTAATCAACTAAAATGTGATCTGATTTTATCTATACATTTTTGAGATACTAAAGGAGGCATGAGAAAGAGTGATTTAATAAACCAAATATGTCACTTCGTGCTGTGAGGGAAAGCCATCTCTAATTTATTGTTTTCATTTCATGTGAAAGGTCAAAGGATATTCAGTCCTGTTTACAGTTTGTGCTTACTCATTTTGAACTAATTTCTGTAGGTTAATCAATTAAAACTTTAGATGATTGATTGTATTACTTGCACTAATGAACAGTTGCAACCATGATAGGCACAAATGTCTGTTTCCATATTCATCAATAAAATATTATTATTAATAAAACAGAAACAGCTTTGAAATGCCTTTTAAATTTTGATTGGTCTTTTAATATTTGAAAGGTGCAGTCTATAGAACAAACCCCCAAAGCATTTTTTCATAGAAAAATATTATATTTAAATATAAATACAAATGGAAAATTCCTCTTCTTAGATTGAATTCAATACTGAAATCCCTGTGGCCCTTGTTACATACAGCACTGATGTTACCTGTCTGTCATGGGTTTGGAGGGAAAGTTCCATCCTATGGGGAGTGGAAGGCGGGACATCAGGAGGAGGGGCTGTACTGTATATATATGTGAAGCGTGAGCCTTAGCAAAAGGAAAGCAGGGATCAAAGGGCTGCAGGATGGCTTTGATCCTTGCTGTCCCCTCTGCTTACTAAGTCCCATGGGGCTTAGCAAGGGTAGAGGGAAAGGATCAAAGCAATCCCATGGCTGTATAAGTGGGAAAGGAATCAAAACGATCATGCAGTCATGGGATTGCTTTGATCCCTTTCCCCCTCCTTTTGCTAAGCCCTGTGGGGCTTAGCAAGAAAGCAGGGATCAAAGCGATCCTGCAGTGCTTTGATCTCTTTCCCCCTACACTTGCTAAGCTCCACCTAGTTTTCTTAATTTTGGGTTAGAAAAGTGGGGGGCATCCTATACATGGGGGCGTCCTATACACAGAAAATATGGTATTTGTGTTAGTCTACACTAGCATGTCAGACAAATTAATCAACTAAAATGTGATCTGATTTTATCTATACATTTTTGAGATACTAAAGGAGGCATGAGAAAGAGTGATTTAATAAACCAAATACGTCACTTCGTGCTGTGAGGGAAAGCCATCTCTAATTTATTGTTTTCATTTCATGTGAAAGGTCAAAGGATATTCAGTCCTGTTTACAGTTTGTGTTTACTCATTTTGAACTAATTTCTGTAGGTTAATCAATTAAAACTTTAGATGATTGATTGTATTACTTGCACTAATGAACAGTTGCAACCATGATAGGCACAAATGTCTGTTTCCATATTCATCAATAAAATATTATTATTAATAAAACAGAAACAGCTTTGAAATGCCTTTTAAATTTTGATTGGTCTTTTAATATTTGAAAGGTGCAGTCTATAAAACAAACCCCCAAAGCATTTTTTCATAGAAAAATATTATATTTAAATATAAATACAAATGGAAAATTCCTCTTCTTAGATTGAATTCGATACTGAAATCCCTGTGGTCCTTTCTGAACATTTTAACACCATCCTACTATTTCAAAATTCAAGGATATATATCCGATTATATTTTACTTTCCTCCCCTTTCATTTAGTTCTGTACGGTTTATTATTGTAATTATCTGCAATAATCTCAATCATTTACCTTTGCAGCATGTATATTATAGTGATAAAACTTTCTTTAGCAGTGTCCACAAATTTTTGACTGGGCTGATAATCCAAACAGTATTTTTAGTTACCATCATTTCATTCCTTCCCTTAACCTTACCCCTTTCTGACATGTGTTCTACAACCATCCATTTGGGTTCCCCTTTCTCACTTTATGATGCCCTGGTAGACTTAAAGCACCTAGTGTTACATAAGCAAGTACTGACGGGGCACAGAAATCAGTGTTATTTCAGTCAAGTCAAAACTTATTACCCCACGTTCAGTGCAAAAGCTGTACAATGATTCAGGAAGATCTGCTGCACGCTTTGAAAACTGTTTGAAAACATGTGTTCTGAGTGAAATAAGGGATTCACTGTCTTTCAAGGTTAAGGCCTGTTGTATACGGGTACATCCCACAACTTTCTAAAATTGTTTCAATAGACAAAAATAAGTCAGCGAGATGCAGTGAGTAGCTCTGAAATGAATATTTCCCAAGTGATCTACTTTCCACTTTTGTTCCCCTTCTGTTTCCAACCTCCATGAAATTTCTTTAATCATGTGGAAAGTGGAGAGCCATGGGACAAAAGGAGAAAGTTTTAATCATGGAAAATTTCTCCATGTCAATAATGTCATCCACTGGTGGCAATTTTAAATTGTTGAGACTTTATATTTCTGCCCTGTGGCTTTCCCCCCACCCCATGTTTTGCAGCTTTCCCCTCCATGTTTTGCTAAGAAAATGGAGGGGGAAAGCATCCTGCTTTCCTCCTCCATTTTCATTGCAAAACATGGAGGGAGAAAAGCTGCTTTTTGCAATGAAAATAAAGGGGGAAAATACGAATCGCTTTCCCCTGCATTTTCTTTGCAAAATGTGGAGGAGGAAAGCTGCTTTTTGCAACAAAAATGTAGGAGGAAAGCAGGAATTGCTTTCCCCCTCACTTTTCTTTGCAAAATATGGAGAGGGAAAGCAGGGATCAAAGCGCTTTGATCCCTCCCCCCTTACTTCCATGTATAAAATGACCCTCGAATTTTCCTTTAAATGTTTTAGAGAAAAGTTTTTTTATATACATGGAAAAATACGGTAAGGTCCTCTACTGTCTTTCTCAGCTCTTGAAAACTAAAGCCTGTGACTTCCTTTAGGGTGTCAACCCATCTCATATTTGGTCTTCCTGTTTTTCTGTTGTCTTCCACCTTTCCTAGAGTTATCTTTTCCAGAGAATCCTGCCTTCTCATTATGTGCTCAAACTAGGACAGCCTCAGTTCCACTTTTTTGCCACCAGAGGTAGTTCTGGCTTGGTTTGATCTAGGACCCACTTGTTTGTCTTTCTGGCAATCCAGGGTATCCACAAAGCTCTCCTCTAGCATCACATTTCAAATAAATCAATTTTTTCCCTATCAGGTTTCTTACTGTCCAGTTTTCACACCTATACATGGTGACTGGAAATACAAGAGTGTGGATTACCTCAGTCTTGATCTCCATTGACACATCCTTACTCTTGATAATCTTTTCTAATTCCTTCATTGCTGCCCTTCCTAGTCTCAAGAAACTAAAAATCTGTGCCTTGTGCATAATCTGTACTGTGCTTATAAATTTGTATTTGTCTTCACTTGTCTTGAGATACGCCATAATGTAACAAGAATATCTTATAATGATTTTTTGATAGGAAAAGGTGTAGGGACAAAGCTGACCTACTATTCAAGGCACACTAATTCATAAAAAATACATTGATCAGGATTCCTGATAGTCTTCATTGAGTATTTGGTGCAGTGTCACTATTACAGGTGAGAAATACATGCCAGATTTTAGATAAAACTTTTAACTTGCGCACCCAAGTATGTTGTGATAGTAAATCAATGTCTAATCTAGGCTTCATTTGCCTCTGCAAAACTTCCACTAGGTTTAATTCTGTTGTGCAGATTTCATTTTCCTGGTAATTTTGCATTTTGTTTCTTACAATTATATCTTTCAGACTTAAAAAGATGCCCTGGACAGTTATGAATACAGTACATGATTTTAAAATAATATTTTAAAAGCATAGATACCATACAAAAATCATGCAGACACAATTGCAACAAATAAATAGTTTGCATGGAAATATAATAGTTCAAGATATAGTCAGGTTGAAAGCCTTGCATTTTACACCAAAGTGCTATAAAAGAGAGCCTGGAAAGTGTACTGAGGGAAAACATTCCACAAATGAGGTGGTATTGCCATTGAAAATAAACCTCTTCTGTATAGGATGGCCAGTAATATATTACCCCAAAAGAGGAAGTGGGTCTTCAAAATATAAATCTAAAACATCATTTAAATACTGAATATCTCATGTAGTGGAGAAGACAATGACTAGGAAATGCTACAAAGACAGTGGCCAGAATCCTACTGATGTTTGTGGACCTTTTCTAATTAATTGCAGCTAATTGGCAAGCTGTTAAGTTGTATCTTGTTTGAGTATCTGGTCACACATCTGCTTGCACATCTCAGTTGCATCTCAGTAACAATTCAGGCAAAAAACAGGTGATCAATGTGTCAACTCCATCTGATATATGGCAAAACTGCTCACTCTTGATGGGCAAACTTCATGCCCATGTTCTTCTTTTTTATGGTCAATTGTGTTTTAAACTTTATGGCTTGGTTCCAGGCTATTTAGCAGACCATATCTCCCTGTATAACCTTTCTCGTGTTTTAAGATCTTAGGGGGAGGCTGTCTTTTAGGTCCCATCACCTTTACAGAGGGACTCAAGGAAGGGATGTCTTAGTTGCTGCCCATATGTTATGGAATTCCCTCCCCTTTGAAGCACAACTACCCTCCCTCCCTCACCTCTCCTTTTAGTAGGACTTGCAAACATTTTTGTTTAGACAGAATTTTAATATTTGATTTTAACATAACTGGATAACGTATGCTTGCTATCATAGCTTTTTAAATTTGTGTGGGTTTTTTATGATTCTACATTTTTAATCTGTTTTTAGATAACAATTTTAATAATTCCACGCTTAATAACTTTTAAATAGTTAATGTGTCTTATTTTAATTTTTGTTTGTTTGTTTCTTTTAATGATCTGTGGGCTGCCACGAGTCCCTTTGCCAGGAGGAAGGTGGCATAAATATGCAATAAATGGATAAAGTGCTAATTCATGTTCCATGATTATATGTGATTGCCTGCTATTCATCCAGCTGGCTGGATAGCTCAGTGAGCTAGGTAAATGGCTTCAGAGCCCAATGGTGGGAGTTCAGCGCCCCACTGTGCATCCCAGGAGAGCCAGCCTGTGTGGCCTTGAGCAAGCTGTACAGTTCCAGGATGTCCCCAGAAGAAGGGAATGGTACATCATTTCTGCATATTTGTTACCTAGAAAACTCTGAGAAGGATCACCATAAGTCAGAATTGAGTTGACCGCACATGATTGGAGATGGGCATGAACTCCCTGTTTGGTGGTTCATTCCAGTTCATTCACCACCACATGAGGTGTTTGGCAGTTCAGCACCCTTCCCCCTCTGCTAGGCACCCAGTCAGAGGCAGCATCACAGCTTCCCTGCCCTGCCTCCTCTTTGTGCTGAGTGGCATCCACCAGAGAAGGTGGGGTGGCGGACTGTCAAACACCTGTTGCAGAGGCAAACAAACCAGCGCTTCATGTTTATCTCTACACATGATTATTATTAATATTATTAATTCATGTTGCATCTCTCAAAGTAGTTCATGTAAGTTGATAGTATAATTTGGACCAACAGGTTTTCCTCCACTTGCATAGATAGCCCAGTCTTTGAGGATTATGTGTGATTGCCTTCAAGCCAGCATGGTGCAAGGATGTAAAAACATGATCTGATTTTTTGGGGGGCTAACTTGACTGGAGAAAATACTCCAGGGAAGAATTATCAGGTCAGATGAAATTCCTTGCCTCTGGGCAAGAGTGGGATAAAGAGTGATCATTTTTATCACCTTACCTATGCAGGTAGTCTCTGGGCAAAACAAATATCCTTTTCCTTTGAGAAGCAAAGCCCACAACACAGCAAGCACAGAACAACTGTCTGACTGTTAAAAGAGATTCAGTATCTCCTCCAGTGCTCTTAATCCTTAAAATTCTGTGCAACAAAATGATAATCATTATCTTCTGGCACAGTTTGCACTATTTGCTTTAAAGGAGTGTGTGTGTGTGTGTGTGTGTGTGTGTGTGTGTGTGTGTGTGTGTGTGTGTGTGTGTGAGAGAGAGAGAGAGAGAGAGAGAGAGAATTAAAATATGCTCATCTCCTCTTCTTGTTCAGAGTCCCACAAAAACATGCCCTCTTGCATGGTGAGAAAAATAATATTGTGTTTTCTCTGCCTTATATGCAAGGATGAAACAAACAAGGATTTATAGCCATAGTGTGGTGTAGTATTCAAAATTTTAAACTGGAAGTAGTGAGATTCAAGACTCAGTTCAAATCTACATTGTGCCACAAAACTGGTTGGCACAGTAAGTGTGTACCAGTCAAACCTACACAGCAGGGAAAATAAGGTTTGATCCCCTGTGATTCATAATTTATCAAACCTGTCTTCCCTGGGTGAAATTGATGTAGCTGTCCAGAGAACAATTTTCAGGAGTCAGCAGGGGCAGAAGCAGAGAGCTCAGTTTATATGGAGCTCCAACAGCAAAAGCTGCCATAAGGTGCTAGCAAGGTGCTAATTGGCAATTTACACCATTCTCTCTCCCCCTCCTTTTATTTACTTCTCCAAAGTGCCCTAGCAAGAATGTATTCCAAAGCTGAGCTGAAACTCTTTTTAGAATAAACTGTTGGGAAACTAGAGGCACTTGGCTGAGGAGAACTGAGACACCCCCCCCCATGAATGAATCAGGTGGTGATACCAGGCAGAAAGTAGACAAAGATGATATCAAGCTGGTCAAACTGATCAGAACAAATTTAAAACCATCTCTGTTGGCTAAACAAAACAAAATGATTTCTCACTTAAAATAGACAGTTGCACTATAGGCATCTCTGCATTGATCTTTACATTGTGTTGTCTTAGGTTTTAATTCTGATTAATCTGTGCCCAACTCAGAATAAATTGCAGGGTAAATAACTACTGCTATTGCCTCCTCAGACTAGGGTTTGGTTGTAAAGATAAAATGTCTTAATTTTAATGACGGAAAGTTGGGTTACAAATGTAATGAGTGCAATATTGCATGATGGGAAGTGGTTGCTGGTCAACTGTGATCTCCAAGAACAAAGCAAGTTTTAGAAGAAAGCGTGACATTTTAGAAATAATGTTGTATTATAAAACAATTTGAGGTTGTGGGTACAACATGATTCAAAGTAATATAAAGAATATTGAATGTAGAAGTAGGCTTTCTTGTATGGAATAAAATGAGATATTTAATATTCCTCAGATTAAGAAAATGAGCCCAGATGTGTTCTGTGTTCATTTCTTTCAGGGACTGCAATGGAGGAACATGCATGGACACATCCAACATTTTGTATGCTTGGGCAAGAAATGCTCCACCAACAAGACTGCCAAAAGGTAAAGGGTCCTCGATGGCATGACATTCCAAATACTGGTGTGGCAGTAGGGGATAATCTCTTTGGAGTTGGAGGGACACATTTTTGCTTTAAATATTTAACAGTTTTAATATTTAAATATTTAGTGCATCTACTACCTTACACAATTGTAATACTTTGATTCCACTTTAACTGCCGTAGTTCTGTCCTACAGAATACTGAAATTTGTATTTTGTTGAGCTACTTAGAATTCTTTGCTAAGGTTCACAGGAGTGGGCTGAGCTTTCTGACAAGAGCTTGTCAGACTACAAATCCCATCATTCCATAAGATCACGCAATGGCAATTAAAGTGGAATGAGACTATTGTAGCTGTGTAACTGAGACAACTATACAAGAGAAGTGGGGCATCAGAGCAGCGAACTGCTCATCTAAGTAAACTGGTATAAGAAAAGGTGTATGTCATTTGGAAGCAGGTGAGTTTTTATCTTTTTTTTCTTCTCATGTGGGCTTGAATAAATTTCCTTCTACAGCAGATTTCTATGCTGTGCTATTTACTGCAGATGGAGATAACATTTATGGCTTATAAATGATGGATTGTTGGTGAATTTGATTTGGTTTGTAGCAGAACATTGTCAAGATGATTCTTTTATCTTGCATTACACCAAGTATCCATATTCCCACCAACAGTGAGCTGAGCCATTAAAAATAAAAAATAAAAAATGGAGACATAAACTTGGGATATCTTGCCTGTCTGCTTGTATTTGCTCATCTCCCATTTCATAGCCAGGGTAGATGTAGAGCTCTCAGTTCTAATGCTTATTTGCCTTGGAGAAAGTACTTCAGAAGTTGCTCTGCAAACAGAATATACATGTAGAATGTTGAATTGTGTGTCCTTTAAAGTTACTAAAATAAGAACTTTGACACTTTTTGTAATGTGGGCATTTCAGGATTTCCGTTGAATTTCTTACTTTTTGATAGTGCTTTTAGGAATGCATTTGCATATAATCACTTGAATTTCACCTCTCCTTTTTTATGTTAAGGTGTTGGATTCAAAGTTGGAGGAGAGAAGGGTAGCAAATACTTTGTGCTCCAAGTACATTATGGAGATGTTAGTGCATTCAAAGGTATGTCTCGTCTTCAAGTATTACTGTAATATGCTATTAAAGTAGATTTTTTTTAAAAAAACTAGTAACTAAGATCAATTACAACAGGCAATTTAACGTCTGCTTGAATGGGCCAACCATCTGACTTAAATTCAAATAAGTCTGTGTCTTGTGGGGTAATTTGCTGGTTGCCTGCTGGACCTTCAGTTAATTTGATATTAACCTGGATTGGTTCCAACCCAGAGGGGCCTCTGAGCTTTGCACAGTTCACTGTGTAATCAGAAAAGAAACAGGATCTATCTATAGGCTTCCTTTTGGCCACTTTTGTCACCTCCTTCTCTGTCCCCACTTCCTAGCTGTTGGCAGGGCGTTCCTGCAGAGTTATACTGAAGCCTGAAGCAGCATACAAGAATGTGAGGAAGAATAGGAAATGGAGGCCCCATATTTCCTGGCACTCTTTAGTCAATCTTTTATGGTAATGATATTCAGCATCTGGCTCTGGCACATTGTATGCTCTCTTTCTTGTTTAATTTAACCATAGTTATCAGGATTTCAAATCTAGTTTTCAGAGATGCCACTATGTCCTTGAGACTCTTTATCTTACCTTCTACATAACTACATCTTTAGAAGCAGAGCAGATTGCAAGGAGACGTAGGAACTGAACTGGAACTGAAACAGGTCCATTTCATATCAGACACAATGTTAGTATGTTATCTCAACTATGTAAATCTTTAAGGAAAGAGATCTAATTATAGTAGATACTGATTGTTGTTAAAAACATGTTAAGATTTCAACTAGACCTTCAGAATTATGATACTGATTGGTTAAATTACATTACATTTGATGAGAATATTAACCTTGACATTAAGCTCAGTAAAGAAAATTAAAATTCAGCTATCTTCTCAGTAGCACTCTTGAATGACTTCCATTTGTTGCTGGTGTTCCGGTGCAACATGCCACTTTGCCAGTTGGTTAGTATATAGCTCACAGCTGTTGACACTGTGCCATTGGGACTCATTCTGGTTATGATCACATCTTGTGTTCTGATTTTTAATTTTTAGGATCTGCCAATGGTTTCTGATTTAAGCATTCTGACATTCCTGCATTTGCTAGTAGCAGCAACTGTCCAGTGCCCAGTGCTTCTTCTCTGGAAATTAATTTATATTACACAGCAACAATGCTTTATAAGGTCCCTTACACACACACACAATTTTCTAAGGACTGTTTTGCATTAGCAAGTTTTCTGCACAATTGATGTTTTGTCTCTTAGCACATTGTTCATTCCAGCATTTATTGCAAACTATATGCTGCTGTGCATCCTACATCCTCATTCTTTCTTCTGTAATTGCCTTGCAGTTTTGATCCATTTGGGGGTGTACATTCCTTCATTTTTTAATTCCAACACATTTCCTTTCTACAGCAAACTTATGCTATAGCAATTAACCTTGGCAAAGCACCGGGGGAGAGAGGCTTCTTTCATAGAGAAACCATTTAGTTCTCAATTAGAATCTATCTTAACACAGTTTTGGTAGAATATCCTTCAAGATTCAGAATGAGTGACTCTGATACATTTTATCATCTATTTCCTTTTTAATTTAACCACAATTATAAGGATTGGAAATCTGATTTTCAGCTTTTAGTTAACTGTTAACAACCATACTTCAATCATTTGTGGATTAGAATCTATTTTATAGGAACCATCAGCTGAAATCCAGTAGTAAGTTATAGCTAGAACAGGCCCATTGAATCAGAGGAGATTTGGTGAGTCAACAGGAAGGTCAGGAATTTTCTGGCATTGTCAGTGGAGATTTTGCATTTGTAAGAAAGACCTTTTGAGCGAAAATGCCTATTTTTGTGTTCTGTGCTGCTAAAGTGAATTATGAGAGTTGTAGGAACTGCCCAGCATTGTCCAGCATTAGGGCATTTGCAGCTTTAAGACCTGAATTTAACTTCTCCTTTTCTATGTTAAGGTGTTGAATGGCATCAGATTGGTTGTTGCCATCTTTCTTAACAGCTTGCCAATACATCAGTGTTTGCTTTGTGTGGGTGTGCTTTCCTTCTCAGAGGAAAAGGAAACTGGAGACATGTTGGAACACTGGGTTTGATCCCACTGACAATAAAAACTGCTGTTCTATTGGGTTCTGCTTTAAAAAAAAACACAAATTTAATTTTGGTATAAACACAAGGTATGTGCATGCATGGAGTACTGCGCCAGGGGAGTGAGTTTTTCCGCTCCTCAGCCAGAGATCCATTTATTTTGAGGTGGTAATTGAATCAATTGGAATTCATTGGAATTGATTCCACATGGGTGAGCAACCTACTGCTTTTTTAAAAATTCCTGCTTCCTAATACAGCACTATACCAGGTAAGCAAGAATTTTTAAAATAATAATAATAATAAAGCACCACGGTCCACTTGCTGAAAGAGCCAGCACCACATCAGACAGCTCATTCTAAGCCCAGACTTCTTTCCCCTTTCAGTTCCCACCACCTTCCTCCCCTCCTGGCCCATCTCTCAACCAACCTCTTCTTCTCATCCCTCCCCAAATCCTCTCTACCATCTATTCCCCTCAACTTGTTCAGAGTTATTAGAAGTTAAAGGTATTTGGGTGTAAAAGACTGCTTTTTCAAGGTAAACATTATTTTTAACTCTATATATTTCTATTTTTCAATAAATATTTCCCCACTTTACTTGTGCATGCTTCATCTCCACGCATATTGCTTTTTCCACATTCCAACTGTTTATAAAACATTTATTTTAGCATTTTAAATAATATCATTAATTACGCTTGTGACACAGCAGTGAGACAAAAATAAAATCCCTGCTGCACAATGAATTAACTTTGTATTCAGTGATAAGTTGTAGTAACATATTTTATATCGGTTCCAAATCTTATTTATTTGCTCTTAAAAATAAACTTAAAAAAAGGGGGGGAATACTTTATCCTTATGAAAAGTTTCATTTTTAGATCTTTGGTGCATTCTAGGACTCCATTCTTCTTACTTGCATTTCCAAAGAAATCTTAAGACAGTCATCTGTATGTGTTCTTACACTTCCACGTATATAAAATGCTGTAAAATACGATGTTTCAGATTAAAACACTTAAAAATAGGAGCAGCTTTTGAAAAACATGCCATTCTTCCATAGTTGATGGAAGTTATTTCCCCTTTTCTCACTGTTATTTTAACATGCTGCTTTATAGTGGCCACATTTATGGTAACTTTCATGTGCAATATTTCACCATTGAATCAGGACTGGATTTTTTGTTTCTATTGCTTCAGTTTTTAAGCTGTAATTCTGGTACAATAAGCCTGATCTGTGGGTATTTCAACTTTGTAAACCTTTAATGTAACTTCAGAGTGGTGGTTACCATTTATTTTTCTCGGTGATCAAAGAATTAGAAGCTGATATGCATATCACAATAGATTTTGTAATATACACTGTGCAATCCAGAAGAGCTATTAAGCCACCCTAGTAAGCACAGCTTCTTGTTTGATCTCTGTTGGAAACTCTGCATAGAGAATCAGATTTGAAAGGAACCGGCTTCTAAGGGGGGATGAATGCATTTCCTTCTCTTTGCCACGAGGCAAATGGAAGCTAATAATTTCTTTGTCCTGGAGCAATGTGTACTTGCTCTCTAGCTGAAATGCAAAATCAAAGGAATTATCCAAGGCTGAGTGGCAAATAGCAAAAATGAATTTGAGGAGGAGTGTTAAGAACTGTATCGTGTTCCAGCAATCTGCTGAGCTGGTCCCCAAAGCAAATGTTATGCAGTTCAGTTTCTTCCAGCTTATCAAACCTGCTGAGTGGAGACCTCGTTAGATATGACCATGTATAGAGAGGGGTATGTAAGGGATAGAAACTCAACCCATACGCAGGAAAAAATTGCCAGTGTGAAGCAAAACTCTTGTTTATACATTATAAATATTTAACACAGGAAATGGTCTGAAATTTGTGAGAAAAAAAGTAACTTGGTAGTTGATAACTTATGCAAGACTGGAGCCTAACCCAGATTTTACCTTTGCTTTAGCACAGTGAGCAAATTTCCTAAAGTCTACAATGATGTGGATTTGGAGGTAGCAGAGTACTTTTCTTTGGGTTTTTACTTGTGATGTCTGACTTATTCACAAGGCACTGTTTATGCAATCTAGATGCAAAGGCAGCTTCATTGTTTGCTTGACCTAACTGTAAAGTGTGTTTGACAGCCTAGAAGTCTAATGACTGAAGATATAATCAGAATTGCTTGACACGATTGCGGGGGAATGTGCCTTTTAGGGAAATGGGTCTGCCCTATATGATGCTTAACTAGGAACTGAACTGCATTCTATGTTTGTGGAGTTAAAATGACTTGAATGGAATATATTAAAGCAATTACCTTCTGCATTTAGTTTCAGTTTTACCTATTTGTCAGTTTTCAGCAAACTGGATGTATGCTTCATGTATACATATGTAATACATGATACCTAATGGGGTGTAGTGGATAGAGTGACAGAGTAGGACTTTGGAGACCTGGGTTCAAATCCCTGTTCAGCCATAGAAACTCACTGCAGGGATGACACTGGTAAAATAACTCCTTAACCACTCACTTACCTTGGAAGAACTATTGTGGTTGGTATATAAGTTGATTCCAACTTGATTCCAACATAGTATGCATATGTATTTAATAGATACTTGCACATTCTGTTTTCCACCTCCACCCATTTTCTTAAATGTCACTGTTTTTGTTTTTGCATTTCCTAATGGGTTAAAGCACATGATACAATCATATGTATGATGGGTACTCAGGTATCCACAACATTTTATTGTGTCTTGAGCTGAAACACATTAAGAACTGCAGAAGCTAAGAAGCTGAGTGAAAAATCTTCTCCAGTCTGAAGCTTCTCTGCTGTGACATTTACTGCTTCTGGGTGTCCACCAGCTTTCACTGAAGGAAACTGGAAGATACCTGTCCAAATTCATGCACAGTGAGAGAGTCAGTTGCCTTGGGCAAATTACAGTCAGTCAGTGTGTGACATCTCTGTCTGTCAGTAAAATGAAAGCAATCTACTTCACAGGATTGTTTGAAGATGAATAACAGAGATTACAAAGGAGTCTAAATTTTCTAAAAAGAGCTTCCTTTTCCCCTAGACGGCTGCACAGAATGACTTCCCCTTTTCTTCATCTACCTTCCTTTGTTTCCAGGCCTCCTGCTTACCCTGCAACTCTCCAGATGTTTTATAGAACAGCTTCTGGTATGCAGAATAAAATAATAAAGCACTGTTATAATAAAATACTGTTATAAGCAGCAGTGATCACACAGATGATATTACTGGAAGCTGACAAACAGGGCAGTAATGCATTGGCCAGCCTCTTTCTCCCAACATCAGGTTTTCGGAGGCAGGCTGCCTTTGAATATGAAGGGCCCATTCAAGTACCATAGCTAGTAATAGCCATCCACAGATCTATTTTTGTGGAAGATCTATCTAATTTGATAAGTATGTCTTTGACAAGAATAAGAATTTTTCAGTGCCACTTTGAATCCAGAGGTTAAAGTACCTAGATGTTTGGGAGAAAACCATAGAAACTGAATTGCGATGGATGTTTGCATGGCTTACCATTGACAGGATGCTGAGAACAGAAATGTTATGAAAATAGTAAATTACAGGAAATTTGAAATAAAACAGCAATTTAACATTGGTTGAGGCAAACAGAATTTCAGGCACTTTTCCAAAAGACTCCTGCTGCCAACACAAGCACATATACGAGTCCTTGTTATTTGGGGGTGGCATGACCTCCCGGGAGTGCTCAAATGAAAATCTGTGTCAGTGTAATCTATGGCATATCAGTGATTGACAGTTACCCATCCCTCATTTCTTGGGGGGGGCAAGCATTCATTTGAACTCATGCCACAAGCACCCACGTGAATTACGTGGGACATCTGATGGAAGTGATGGCATGAAAGCCCTCAATCTGTATGTGCAGTTGCTTATGTTTGATGGTGAGAACAGGGCAGAGGAGGGGGAGACATTTTTATCTTGCCTGATAATATGCATATTTGTGTAGAGATAAACATATGGAGAAACTCATATATTGTCTCATTTGGGGGTAGAGAAGGACAGAAGGACCATTATTATGCCTTCTGACATTTGTGTGCACATGTGCATCCCCCATGTTGACTGTATGCATTGCAGTCTTGGAAGGGAAGGACAAAGAAGGCAAAGCAGAGAAATTCTCTCCCCCACCTTCAATTTTCCTCCTCCATTCCCTCCCTCTTACTGTTTCCCTTGCATTTTGTGCTATGGAGGACTTCCCCATAAATGTTTCTGTGAGCACCTGGAATAGTAAAGTATTCAACTGATACAAATGCAAGACCAAGTAATACCTTTATTACACTAAAATCTGAACAAACAGCTAGCTTTTGATGTCAATCCATCTTCCTCAGGCTATGTGCCAAGATTTTGTGGAAAGTGCAGAAAAAATGTACATGAGAGTCATGGCAGATTATTGGGCCAGGGCTATTTCTTAAGGTCAGTTCAAAAGCAAATGCCATTGGGTGTGTGGTTTCAAATTCCACACCAGATAGCAATTGGCTGGATTTCTCCTCCCATCTCTCCCAACAAAGAACTGCCACATAATCTGCATTTACACCACCACCACATTGCCTTACAGTATATTGAAACTCAAGGTTTTAAAGTGATAGTAGCACCAGAAGCATTCAATGGGTGCTCACAAGATGAAGCAAACTATTCCTTTTCCTTTCATTTTAACCCTGTTAGAAGTCTTCTGATAACATTGCCATAGAGGTTGATAACAGATTCTGCTGTCTACTGTCCATAAACAGTGGATCTGTGTATGTTGTGTGTGTTGGGAAATACTTGATAACTGTTATGAAATGGCGTTGTACACATTGTTTTGCAAGATTATATGTAGACATGTATTCAGTGAACCTGGAAATATTGGAATATTTTGTAGAAGTGAGGTAAGTACTTGGTAGACTGTCCTAGATTAAAGTGGGAAAAGATTAAGTATAAACAATACAGGTTTTACTTTACCATGCATTTTTTTTTTCAAAAAGAGAAGAAAGTTCAAATAGTATAGCAACTCCTAACCCTATACTAGCAACTGTTACTAATATTCATGGAAGAGTGCAAGAAAGGATGGAAGTTGGGAGTTATAGTTCAGCAGATAAAGAGTGAAAATTGTGAGACAGATTTGGGAGGCGTGTGCACTACAGAATAATTTCAGAATTTAACGGCAAGGGATAGAATTCATGAGAGGCACAATGGATAGATTTATTTGCAGCATGGGGAAGAGATTGAAATGCATTCAGAGGAAGCATGTGTGCATCGCTTCAGAGGACAAAAAAAAAGACTTATTGTTTGGTCGTATCTACTTGAAAATAAACTGTACTAGGGATCAAACCCTACTATTGATTTTGTAGGAAAGGTATGGGAAACATGTGGTCCCCTCTCATGTTTGCTGTTTCCAGTGCTCACTAGGGCAAGTGGAAATTGCAGTCCAAGAACATACTGTATTGAGGGCCGCAGGCTCCTTACTTCTGTGTTAAGCTGTGGTGACATCCAGACACAAGAACTGGTGGACTTCAGAGGAAATAGTCCAATACATGGTTTCACATATCCTGAGTAGCTAAAATAATACTCATTGTATGGCTAAAAAAAAAACCTCTTAAAAAAACTTTAGTTTCTCTTCTTGTTTAAAATATGGTATTACGATTTTTCCTTTTGCTTTGAAAAATGCCTGCTGCTTGCTATTTAAAATATAATGGCCAACGTTCAAGTTTGTGGGTGCAGTATATTAAACAAATTGTTCAAATTATTGCCACCGTGGAAGAGATTCTGATGCAAATACAGAGTCTTTATCATTTGCATAGCAGAACGATGTTATACTATGCATCGCAAAACTCATTTATGCTTGGCACACTGATTGTCTAATAAGACATTTATGTAGGAACTACTTAATTATTGCTCTCAAATAATAATGGAGGAAAAGCAGTGATTATATTTAGCTTTATCTTACTCTTTTTTTGCAGATAAACACAAAGACTGTTCTGGTGTAACTTTACATCTTACTAATCAAAGGTAAGTATCTTCCTATTTTTTATTTTTATTTTATTTTATTTTGTAATTTGTTCCATATTTTTCAGAACTTTTTTTAAAGGGAGTAATACAAGTTTTACCTAACACGGTGCAGTGGATAGAGTGGCTCTGGACATCCGATTTCAAATCCCTTCTCAGCCATGAACACTCACTTAAGTGGAAAGCCCTATTATATTGCTATTGTTTCCAGTTTAGTTGCCCATAACGAACACAACATAAATTTTTTCATAGACTTTCTGAGAGGAGAACAACATCAGCCCTATTCAGGCATTGCTCACCGGGGGTCTTGGTTGAGTACAGAACCTATATAAGCAGGAATGCTGTCTTTGCAGAAATGTCCATCCTTACTTTTTCAATGTGGAAAGCAACATTTCTGCAAAGACAGCATTCCTGATTATGTAGGTTCTGTACTCAACCAAGACCCCAATTGTATAGTGTTCTTGCTTAGGCGGAGAGCCTACAGCTGAAACTGAGGAGTCTCTCTTCTGCATACATACGTTTCCATGGAGAGAAATTGACAATGGAAAAGAGAGGGGCTAATTCAGGGCTATTCTTTCTCTCCGTGTCAAACAAACTGGCCATCATGCAGAAGCTCCAGGCCAAAATGAATGATATTTTAAATACAGTGGTGCCTCGACTTACGACCATAATCTGTTCCAGAAGATGGGCATAAATCGAAATGGTTGTAAGTTGAAGCACCATTTCCCATAGGAATTCATTGAAACCCCATTAATCTGTTCTGGCTGAAAAGAATAATCATACACAAAAAACCCCACTCTAAGCCCCATCGGAAGGCAATTGGGCTGAAAAATAATTTAAAAAGACCCCACACATACATAGCCTGCCCCATTCGAACGTGCGATGGGGCTGGGGAAAAAAATCAAACAAACAAGCAAACCCACACACATAGCCAGCCCTATTCAAAAGCACAATGGAGCTGGGGGGAAAATAATTTTAAAAAAACCCACATACAGCCAGCCCAATCCGAATGTGAGATGGGGCTGGGGGGAAAAACAGCAAAACACACACAAAAAAACATAACAGCACAGAAACATAACCCCCCCAACCCAAACCCACCCTGCAAAACAAAGTAAATGTACTTACTCAGGAGCAGAAAGCAGCTCCATATAGTCTGAAGCCTCCTCCAACGCACTAACTCTAACCATTGGGATGAAAGAGCTAAAAAGAAGCAGCCTCTTCGCCTACCAATGGTTAGCAAATTTGAATTCCCTGCCTTTTTCCCCTGCCTTTTTGTGTTCGTAGCTGAAAGCTTCGGCCACAAGTTGAAGCAAAATTTTGTGGCCAGAGCTGGTCGCAACTCAAAATGGTTGTTAAGTCGGGACATTTGTAAGTCGAGGCACCCCTGTATACAGGGGTGCTTGTCTGAACTGTAAAAATGAAGTTGCATTTGTCTGGCTTGACAATGATGGTTATTTATTCCATTTTTACTCCACTCTCCACTCCTTGGTAGTGTCCAAGGCAGCTCACCATCAACAGGACATAATATAAGGTATAAATAAAATTAAATTCATTTACAGAATCTTTAAAATCTAGCAACACTAACACCATAACAACCATTAAATCAGTTATGTCTAAAACAGTTTAAATTATTACAGTAAATTAAACAGTTTTGTAAATCAGTTTTAGAAAGTAACAGTTTCTAGAAGTAAAAACAATGGAAAGTAATCACAAATATAAGGAGAACCACAAAGCAGAATGCCTTCTATAAATTCTCTCAAATAGCCACTTATTAGAACCACTTCATGTATTAATTAAGGGGGGAAGACATAAATGTAAGTGGTTCATAATGTTCTTTTTTTTTCTTGGACATCATACTTCTTATGAGACCCCAATCTTTAAGAGTCACCTTATCATCCATACTTAACATTCGAGGTATAAAAGTGAGGATTTGCACACCTGGTGCACATTTCTGCATATTATAGGCTGAGTGACATATGTCTATTATTAATATACAGTAACTCTTAGCAGTGTGAGATACATGAATGATTCTGTACAAGAAAATGTGTAGTATTTTACTAATCTGCATGGTGCAGGCCTATATGTGCCAGATACCTCAGGATCTGACTTTGAAAAAGTGCTATCAATATTACCATTTATTTGCTTTTAGAAGGAATCATATAACTAGTGACTCCGTATACTTCTGTGTAACTTATTGATTTGGGTTTCTTTTTCTTTCAAAGACAGCCTATGATTGCTGGCATGTATCTTATGATGGCCATGGATACTGTCATACCACCAGGAGAGAAAGGTGAATATGACAACCACTCTATCTCCTGTCCTTTTCAATTCTTTCCCTGTGGGATAAAATTTCACAGTGTTACAAAACTGTCAGTGACAAATTTATTGGAAGCACTGTAACTTGTATATATTTCAAGTGTGAAGTCCTAAATATGTTCAAACATAAACACAGTGTGTACTGTTCATCTTAATTGTGGTTTCTAAAAATATTCTGGCTTACAATGAAACAAAACAAGTTTGACTTTGGCCAGCTTCTCTACAGTACAATTAAAAATAACCATGGTTTGCCCAGAATTGAGTATGATGCTAAACAGAAGTTAATTATAATGCAAGTGAAAACTGCTGTTGCTTTGGGGTTGTATCAAAGGAGAAAAGAATGCATGCATGAATGTGAAGCTCATTCAGGTTTGCTCCCAAAAAAACAGTTACTGTGTTCATTTTACATGTTAGTGTCTGTTCATTATTCTACTTATAAGTTTGTGTTGGGTTTTTTAAATTCAAGTTTGCTATGCAATATTTGTTAAAAATTGCTTATGCTGCTGTGTCCAGAAATCTAAGCATATAGTACTAGTTCTAGTTCATAGGTGAAACTTGTGATCTAAATCCAATTAATAGTCCCAAGTAACTGAATCAGTAAGATTTATATAGGTATTGACTTACTGTTTAACAATTTATTCCATTAGTATTTTCTAGTTGGGACTACCTACTGGATTTAGTTCTCTATATGCTTGGCCTGTTCTGTTTTGTTTCTGTGCTGAAAACAACACTGTGCGTACATGTAAGTGTGCGTATTCATGGTGTTGTACCTTCACTTAAATAAATGGAACAAACTTTAGTGATGTGTGAATGAAAGACTTTACCCAGGTATTAATTCTGAAGATGAGTGATGGGCATCAGTGAAGGCTGGTCTTCACCAGGTGCAAACACACTGCTTATTTCTAAGCAGACCATTTAACTTTATTGTTGTAATGGTAGTTCTAATCATTAATACATAGGCATCAGTTCCCCTGATTCTTTTTATTTCTGTTTTTTTTTCTCACAGTGGTCAATTCTGATATTGCCTGCCATTATAAAATGTATCCAATGCACGTGTTTGCCTATAGAGTGCACACTCACCACTTAGGTAAGACTTTTAATTTACTGATCAGTGTCTCAGTTTAGGGTGGGACACTTACCTGGAAATAAATTCCATTTAACTCAGTGGGACTTAATTCTGAGTTAAAATCTGATTAAGGTGTTAGCGATAATGCAGATTAAAAATGGCTGAAATCCTATTGTGCAATTTACACTGTGTAAAGTTGATGATATCATCGGCTATGGCGATTTTTCAGAAATTACCAATTTCTTATCCCCCCCGAAAATCCTAAGATTCCACTGGGATTCTTTTGTTGTGGGGAAGTCATTGAAGGCTGCTGGGGAGGGAGGGGTGTTTTATTTCAAGATTTTCTACCACAGGTAAAATTATGCTAGTGGAAGGGGGAATTTTTTGAAATTACAGTGGTGCATCACTTGACGACATTAATTCGTTCCAGCGAAATCGCTGTAGAGTGAAAATGTTGTCAAACGAAATTTTAAAACGCATTGAAACGCATTAAAAACCGGTTAATGCGTTCCAATGGACGAAATACCTAATCGTCTAGTGAAGATCCTCTATACGGCGGCCATTATTGGGTGCCTGTCTTGCAAAAATTGCCTCCTAAAAACAGTGGGGAGCCATTTTGAGCAGCCAGCGGCCATTTTGAAAACCCAACGATCAGCTGTTTTGATCTTTGTAATGTGAGAATCGGTTCCCGAAGCAGGGAACCAATCGTCGCAAAGCGAAAAAAACCCATTAAAACATTGTTTTGCGATCGCAAAAACACCATCATGAGGCGGACTCGTCGTTATACGGGGTAATCGTTAAGTGGGGCACGACTGTACCAACTTCTCACTGGTCCTGTTGCTTCCTCACAACGATCAGCTGTTTTGATTGTTGTAATGTGAGAATCGGTTCCCGAAGCAGGGAACCAATTGTCGCAAAGTGAAAAAAACCCATTAAAACACCTTTTTGCAATTGCAAAAACACCATCGTGAGGCGGATTCATCGTTATATGGGGTAATCGTTAAGCGGGGCACGACTGCACCAACTTCTCACTGGTCCTGTTGCTTCCCCACAACAGAGGGGATCCCAGTTGAGCCTTGGGCCTTTGGGGATGGGGAGTAATCAGTAATGTTTTATAGGTGAAAAGTTGCCACAGCTGATGACATCATCAGTTTTATAGTACAAGTTGCACAACAGAATGCAAAAGCTTGTTGACTTTATTTGATTCTGAAGAGAAGTGGGTCAAGTAGTTTTCTTAAGTTTGTATTCTGTATGACCATTTTCAGTTTTGTTTCCTATTAAAACAAAGGTGATCTCTCAATCAATGTGAGACAAAATCCTATTTTTAAAAAACTAGCAAACATGAGTTAAAGTCTTCAACTAAAAGTTATCCTAACTTGTATGTTTTTAGAAGTTTTGAAAAGATGTGTATGCTTTCCTAAAAAATGGAGTTTGTTGTGAAATAGGTACAGAAAGTAGTTCTCACAATATGGTAATGTTGTCACCTGATTAAACAATTTAAATACAGTACTCTATTGCTAAACTTGAATATGAGTAAAAGATATGTATTAAATCCAGTGATGCACTCAAGGTAGCATCAGGACTTCTCTTGTGGAAGCACAGTATAAGATTTTGGTCAATATTTCTTTAAAAAGAGTGTTCTCCTTTGACTTTTATTGTTTGATACATGTGTGCAGCAGTCCCAATGAATAGGCAATTACTCCAATGTATGAGAGAATGGTGAGTGCCCCTCTTAAGATTGTAATGACCATTTATGGTTTCATCACCACTTGCAATTCAAACCTTTTAAAATTTGGCTTCCAACTAGAATTTTTTTCTAAAGTCTCAGCACAACATCGTTGTGGGGGCTGAAATTATCTATCAATCTCTGAGATGGGAGACATGATACATGTGTAAGTGAATAAAAAGGGGATAATATGAAGGATGTAACACCTTTAAGAATTACCTGATCCTCTAATCAAGATAAGTGAAGTAACTTAGTTATAATTTGGTGGGGAAGGATCAAAGCCGTTTGCTAAATATGTGTGTGCTGTCCCATAGCACTTAAAAAACTCTCTGGGCAGTTTACAGTTTAATTATGCAGGCTACACGTTGCTCCCCCCATTAGTCTAGTACTCGATTTACTGATCTCAGAAGGATGAAAGGCTGAGTCAGCCTCAAACCAGCTACCTGAGCCCATTGGGACTGAATTTAGGCCATAAGCAGAGTCTTAGCTGCAGTACTGCAGTCTAACCATTGTGCTGCAAGGTTCCTTTTGTGATTTTTAAATGCAACTAATTTTATATTACAGGAAAAGTTGTGAGTGGGTATAGAGTTAGAGATGGTCAGTGGACACCAATTGGCAGGCAGAGTCCTCAGTTGCCTCAGGTATGTTTGGCTGATGATTGGTAAGTGGGATGTTAATATACTTCATTGTTTAGAAGAAGCTAGAAGATCTACATCCGTTTATTTGTGTTTCTTTTATTGGATTCTTTAAAATGAATGGATATAATTTCAGGTTGTTTGTTAAACCTGGAAAGAATGAAAGTTGATATGTATAGTATACGGATATCCCCATCTATATTTGTTTTGATTTAGGAAAGTTTTATTCGGTTCCTCATTTGTAAAACAGTTCTAAGCATTAGCCAAAGTCTGCCAATTGGATGAAATCTCCTCGATAAGGGCATTACGGAACAAACTCCACTGCCATATCACACACTGACTAGAATCTTATTGCTGATATATGCTTACATAAGAAAAACTTCTGAAGTCTTTGTGGCAAATTGCCACTCATTAATGGGCTGCTGGTTGCATTCCTGGGCATGTACACAATTGCACAATTGGCCATGCACCCAGGAACATATGCGTCACCTTGTTATTCTGATAAATAGAAGTAAAGCAGACTCAATTGCCACTCAAACTGTGATAGAGAAAAAAAGAAATGTTAATGAGTTGTTACAGTGTTCCATAAAATAGCATTGCCAATATTATTTTGTGTAATCTTTACAATCATCTGTCACAGTATCAAATACGGGTGGTAACATTAACATCTTAATCCAGTTAGGCATGATGATGAGATGTTAGATATTTATTTTTCTTTACATCTGCCTGAAGAAAAAGCAGACTTACCTTTTTGAACTTTTTCTATCTCATGAAAAAGATTTGAGTGTTTAGTGTGTTCGCATGCCAGGCGTTGTAGAACTCTCCTGCATAATAAAGTGGAATTTAACCGGTGGCTATTTATCTTGCCAGTAAGACTGGCTTAAGAAGTTCAAGCAAATTCTGTAGCAACCAAAGTGATCAGCATGATTCATCTTGTGAAACTGCATCAAAGAAAAACTGGTGGAAAAGAGATACTACATTTTTGTAGACAAGCTCTAAAGTATAGACAAGCTTAACATTTCTACCCATTAGTGGGAATAAGATAGATACTTTTGTTTGTTTCTTTGTGAATATTTAATATATTCTGCTGTGTTTCATGGCTGCAATCTGTTTTGGAGTGTACACTTCCCTTTTTACAAATCCACTTATAAGTTGTCCTCCCCAGAACACTGAAAACCATCCAAATAAATTCTGTTCTGGTGAGATATTTTTCAAATAATGTTTATATCAGAATTTGTATACACAGGAGATACATTTCTTTTTTTAAAAAAAATCTTGATTTCAATCCCCTTAACTGCTTTTGAATGAAGCTCTTAACAAGTTCTCTTATTTTCTGATCAACATATCTAACAATAAAAAACCTTATAAATAGATAATATATCTGGGTTGTATCTTATAATTCTGGTTTTTTCTCAATCAGATATATGGTAGGAAATCTAGATGGTGATCGTCTGATATGCATCATTCTGCTTCCCTTCTCAGGCATTTTATCCAGTAGAAAATCCTGTAGAAATCAAATATGGAGATGTTCTGGCAGCACGATGTGTTTTTACAGGCGAAGGCAGATCTTCAGAAACATATATAGGGTATGTGTCTCTATTTTTAATTATCTAAATAATTGTGTGTCCAAATATATTCTCTGGTTTCATCATGGGTGTAAGACTGTCTCCTCGGAAACATTTTGTGCCACATTTGCTACCTTTTCAATGCCAGGTCAAACTTCTCCCCTCCCCTTTTTTGAAGCCCTTTGCTTTAAACCTTATGCACTCCAATAGAACATTTAGCTCTTAAAATGCAACAATCCTTCTGAGTGTGCACAGAGGTATACATGAAGCATAGGTCTTTGTGTGATCTAATTGCTTGCACAGTAGGAAAGAATTTTCTCAACTTCCAACCATTTGCCATGGGCAGGCCTCCAGGAAGCAAATGAACAAACAAGCAAAGGCCAAGACAAAAAGACTCTCAACAAATCTACTTATCTGGATGGTTGGGATAATCTTTTGACCTAGCTTGTGCAGCATATTGATACTGAAAATATCTCATGTTAGCTGTCTTTCTGTCTGTCTGACTAGTTATTTAGGGCAAACCATGATATGCATAAACTAAGTGATATATTCTTGTAGACTCAAGCTACTCAGGGGGAAAAAAACATCAAAAATTTTCTATCAAGGTAGGGTGGGTAGGTTTCACACTGGAATTCCTTGGGGTCTGGAAGTATCTCAGTAGAACCGCATGTTTTATTTCATGATTTAATTTCACTATGCCTCATATTCACAGGTTCTAAGTGTTTGGGTGGAACATCTTTGATTCTTTATACAGTGGTGCCCCGCATGACGACAATAATGTGTTCCATTAAAATCACTGTACAGCGAAATTGTCGTCATGCAAAAATTAAAACCCCATTGGAATGCATTGAAAACCGGTTAATGCATTCCAATGGGGGAAATACCTGCTCGTGTAGCGAAGATCCTCCATAGGGCAGCCATTTTGCGATCCCTGTCTTGCGGAAATAGGTCCGGAAAACAGCGGGGAGCCATTTTGCGAACCACTGATCAGCTGTTTTAAACCGTCGTCTTGCGAACAATCGGTTCACGAAGCAGGGACCTAATCGTTATTAAATGATAAAAACCCATAGGAAACATTGTTTTGCTATCGCTATAGCGATCACAAAAAGGCATCGTCAAGCGATTTCGTCGTGTAATGGGGTAAGAGTCTAGCGGGGCACCACTGTATACAGGAACTCCTTCAGACATGGGACTTGGAAGGTGGGGGTATGGAAGGTCTGGAATACAATGGAATAGAGTGTCAGGTGTTGAAAAGTCCTTATAGGAAGCAGTTTTCTAACTCAAGGAATGACAGACTTGAGCATTCCCAGCACTTGTCATCAATTCTCTACAGAGCATCAGACAGGCTTGTAATGCTCATCCAACACTAATTCAGTGACAACCACAGAAGAGATCAGAGTGTGTGGGGGGGTGTGAGTGTGTTTGGCTTTGCTTCTTTTGGCCCATCATTGATGTGCAGCTCCTGGAATGTTGCCCATGAGAGAATGTGTTTTGTGAGTTGAGACAGTTCTTCTTGATGGAGATTAAAATTAAACCCCTAATTGCTCATTTCTTTCCTACTGAGAAGAAGGGAAAGAAATGCTGCACAGAATGTAGGAAAGGGTTTGCGCTCTGGTGATGCCCGACATCTTATTAACAACCAAAGTATTATTAAATTTGTGACTACCTTTTATCTTCCAGAGGTACTCAACTGTGCCATGTTAGAAACATTGGCAATATTTTGATAGTGTTGAGATGAGTAGGTGGGTGAGCTTTCTCCTCAACTGCACTTCATTGCTCTGCTTGTATTTTAAAGAAGTGGCAGTTCTGTGACAGCTATCTAAATCAGATGTGGAGAGAAAAAATGAATTAAAGGGAGAGAAAGCCAAAACAGACCTTATCAGGGCAAGGTAGCTTTCTGTGATGGTCAAGAGAGTCCCTGTTTTTGAAAGGCTGAAATATCAATTCTCTTTTTGGAAGGCCTTCCCCCCACCCCAACTGGTGTCGTTGCTGTTGCTATGGTGAATAAATGAATGCTGCATGATGCCACAGGAAAAAGTCAGCATTGACGTCTTTGAAAGCTGCAAATAGTCCTCCCCCACACCTTTGTATTAGTGTAGGCTGAATGACTTGATTGTGAAAAATAATTAGAAAGTGGGGGGGGAGGGATTGTTTTGTTTTAAACCTCTGTCTGTTAGGAGTCTGGATTTGCCTAGAACTATTGCAAGGAGCATCTTTCAGAATAAGCAGAAACTCTTGTGGCACCTTAAAGGCAAACAATTTTTATTTAGTATCAGCTTTCATAAGCCTTAGCCTAGAAATCCCCTCAGAGACCTCTTAAAATAAAACGTATGTCATCAGATGCCTTTTAAAACAGATGTACAAGTATGCTACGTATTTAAGCTACAATACTTTTCTCCTAAAAGAAAAGAAAATGAAAACATTCATTTTTGCTTGATTTTACTTCTGCTTCAGGTGTTGTTGCTGTGAAGAAATGCTCCCCCTCCTGACTGACCAGAGGGAGGCAGTTGCGGGGAATGCAGGGAGAGAGAACCTGTTACTATACTAGGTGTTACATACAGCACTGATGTTACCTGTCTGTCATGGGTTGGAGGGAAAGTTCCATCCTATGGGGAGTGGAAGGCGGGACATCAGGAGGAGGGGCTGTACTGTATATATATGTGGAGTTTGTGTGGAGAAGTAAGGAGAGCTGAAGGAGAGCTGGGAGAAGAAGCTGGAGTGGGAGTCTGTGTGTCAGACAGGGTACTACTGTGTGTCAGTCAGTACCAACCTGATAGGTTCAGGTGTCTTTATGGGTAGCCAGAACTGATAGGTTCAGGGTCTGTGCTTTATTTAAAGGTGTTCTGTGTGAACCAGACTGGTGTATGTATGATTGAGACTAAGCCACGTTACTGTATCTTATTCACTTGATCAGTTTATTTTCCCTGTGTGTTATTTAAATAAACCTTATTCTTTTGTTTGTTTAAAAATCCATTCCTGGTCTGTGTGACTCCTTACAGGGAATGGTTGGTGGCAGCTTAGTGAAACTGTGGCATACTCCAGTAGGTCTGGGGTTGTCACATTGATTGGTGGCAGCGGTGGGATACGACTGGTCCAGTTGTCCAGTGGTCCAGCAAAGCCTTGGCAAGTGTGCCCAGAGCAAGGGGGGTCTAGTCAGGGA